TTAGGTTAGGTTGGGTTGGGTTAGGTTAGGTTAGGTTGGGTTGGATTGGGTTGGGTTAGGTTAGGTTAGGTTGGGTTAGTAAGATTTCTATAAAACTGAGCGACATGCATCTCCTGTTGATTGATCCCTGTCCCTGGGTCTTTATTACCCTTCGTTGTATCCGCAGATGTGGCCTGCTAGGGGTATTCAAGGTACAAAACGTATGGTCACGTGACTCTTCTTTTGCAGAAGACAGGAAATATATAAAAGGCCATAAACACTGTCGTAGTCCACGAGGAAAATGATAAGGCAGATGAATACAACATGCAAATGTAATAACGGAGTATGACTCAGAGGAATACTGCAACAGTTTATGAGCCCGATTCAGAAAGAATTAGGTTGCGTTAAGAAGGTTATCATTTGGACTACTGATTTATGATATCTGAACTTTGTACACCGCGAGAATATGACTCGGAGACAGAGAGGAGAGAATATTGCCCGAATTAATTCCAACGAAGAGCAGATTATTGATTTCAAGATGGAAAATCCCCATCGTTCAAAAGCTGACACGCCTAAAGATTGAAATCGACGCGGTTAAATGATGTAACGTTGCATTTCGAGTATTTTGAGTTTACGTATTGTGGAATTATATTAATCCTCGCTTGTTATATTTGAGATCGTCGTACAATTTTATCTCCGCAGATATGAAGGACGATATGAAGACAGGCGGACGATGTCATTAAATTCGACGAAATGGTGTAAGCGCGTTTCTCCAACTGTATTTCTTTGTTTCTTTTTCAACGGGACAGCCGTGTTACGCTATGTTCGTGCCTTTGTCATTGTTCCCTGTGACAGCTCTTTTGATACAGGAAAGTTGTTTGGTTCGTGGTTACAGTGTGGTTCTGTAACCTCCTCGAATGTTTCGTGTTTATGCAAATTGTTAATGCGTCTCTGTACTCGTTATTAGCAAGCACGTGCATGTTGCGAGGTATCCCGAGGTCATATGCTTTAAATTTACATAGTACCGGACACTAACTAGTTACCACAATACAGAACGACATCTTCGATCTCATGTTGAACCCCGAGTTGCCCGGCGTACGTCATACCTTATTGAAAATGGAAGAATCCGAGTAAAGGCGGAGTGAGCCGAGTAAAGGCGGAGTTCTGCGCAAGCGCAAAGTAACACCATTCCCTACGTAAGAAATGTATTGCTGGAAATGGTAAACAGAGCCTTGTAACTAAAACGAGAATTTTCTTACGCTAATGGGGGGTTTGTCTTGGCGGGAGCCTCGAGTATTCAGACTAGGTTGAACCTCGCGGAAAAATGTTCATATGACGTAACACGGCGTATTCTTGTGGCGTGTTTTTTGGGGGGGGGGGGGGGGAGAAATTGTACCAAGAATGAGAAATTCAAGGAATATGATACAAAGGAACATAGACTGTCGTTGAATTCCAACGGGCGTTTGTCACTGCACGTGTTGACATCAGCTGCTCGTGAACCCGTTCCTGGGCCAATTGCGCACAAGACGGAAGGCTGCTCAGATAAAATCAAACAAAGAAATGACGCAGTGGTAAACAGCCATGAAGTACGAAGCCTGTGTGACTAATACGGGTGTCTGAGGATGGCGTCTTCTGGGTGTGAATGGAGTAATTGTTGGGATGCCACGGAGGAAAACTCCGTGTTGCCTAGACCACGGCCTTGCCCAACACAAGTTATAACTTCGGGCACCGCCGGGAATCGAACCCGAGACCCCAGGATTACAAGGCCAGCGTTATAACCGCTAGACCACCTCATCTTATTATTATTAGTGTTCTGTCTGACGACAGGTCCATATGAACAGGATCCTTCCATCCTTTTCTCGGACTGGGACCTGTTCATATACGTTCTTGGCAGATGATCCAGAAGTGGTTTGCCATTGCCTTCTTCTGTGTGTGAATGGAGTCATTGTTGGGATGCCACGGAGGAAAACTCCGTGTTGCCTAGACCACGGCCTTGCCCAACACAAGTTATAAATTCGGGCACCGCCGGGAATCGAACCCGAGACCCCAGGATTACAAAGCCAGCGTTCTGACCGCTAAGACCACCGTGGCGGTCCATTCAGTGTTTATCATTAAATAATATTTTTTTTAAATTTCACGTACCTCCCTAAGATGTCTTCGCGTACCCCAGGTTGATTACCACTGTCCTTGTGTATGTCCGTTCATCTTTTGGGTTTTGAGGCAAGGTTAGAGTTACGTTGGAGTTCGCTCAGGTTGGATGCTTTACGTTAAAGAACTCCGTTGAATAAGAATGTTTTTTTTTAAAAAGGCAAGTGTTCTATGACAATGGATTCCAAGGTTAGGAATGATCGGAACGTGATATTTTGAAAGATGCATGTGAAGTGGCGTGAAGAATGCCTTTGTAATGTTTGCATACTTGCAGGAGTATCCATTTTCTAGCTTCGCGCGATGTAAGACCAGGGACCCATTATCTTTAATTCGGCAACACGGGGTTTTCCCCAATTCGTTCCCTCGGTCTAAAGGCCTCTCTCCCCAACGCCTGTTGATGGACCGGGCCACCAGAGGCCCTCGGTGAGGGAATACGCAGCTCCCCTGTACAAATCCCCGTTTTCCCTTCCACCTAATACAAGCACGTAATTGCAAGGAACTCGTAGATCCTTTAATGTGAGTGACGTTTACCTGGATTAAAACTGCACAATGACGAGCTTATATATCTGTACTGCTCCCCCAGTATTGTGAGGGTGATTAAGTCGAGAAGAGTGAGATGGGCGGGACATGTAGCGCGCATGGATAGGACAAGAGGTGTGCACCGGGTACTGGTTGGGAAACGTGAAGGGAAGAGACCGCTGGGGAGACCTAGACGTAGATGGGAGGATAATCTCAGGCGGGATCTATGGGAGATAGGAGTTGAAGGAAACTGGACTTTGTTGGCCCAGGACAGGGTCCGATGGAGGGCTTTGGTTAATTCGGTGATGAACCTTCGGGTTCACTAAGCCATCTGGTTGGTTGGGTCCACTATTTGCGAAGCCTGAGGGGAAGAGACC